AACACACAACACTACTGTTAATGAAGTGTGGCTTCAAATCTCTCAGTCACACACACACAAAGACAACACACAACACTACTGTTAATGAAGTGTGGCTTCAAATCTCTCAGTCACACACACACAAAAAGACAACACACAACTCTACACAAAAAAAGACAACACACAACACTACTGTTAATGAAGTGTGGCTTCAAATCTCTCAGTATTGTCACTGTGTATTAAATAAACGTAACAAAAACGACACTAATAAAAGAGTAATTTCCCTTAGTTCACATCAGTCTCCAAAAGTCAGTGTTTCCACTCCAGGGTTTAATAAAGACTGTCAAACCAGTAACCACACATGACGGAACTTCACGGTGACCGTAAAGATGGTTCCAGTAGGGTACGGGATAGAGGGTGCCCACGTCCCTCGTGACTCATTGGAGCAGACGAAGATAAGACTAGCATTAACATTACTTAAATCAATCCCATATCATCACTCATCACCACCATTGTGTCTAAAATCGTCAATGCTCTCAGATCAATGACGTTCATCTACAATCCTTCAATCTCTATCTGTAACAGTTACTTGTCATACTAAGTATGCACGTTCACGTAACACACTATTGGACACTATCATACGCACTTTTTTCTACAAATCAGATGGCGTCAATCTCATATAAATGGGTTAGGGATTTTAAAAAAAAGTAAATACACATGCATCAATTTTAAAGTCCACCATTTTTCCACAGTGTGACGACACACGACAGACATTTCGAGACACACATCCCAGAAGACCACACACGTGAACATTCTTTTGAATGTGGAAACCATCGTCGTCGTTTCATATTTGAATTGAACAGTCGGGAACGTACTTGCAAACTTAACCAGGCTTAGGCAACATGTGAAAGGCACAAAGACTTCTTTAATAACACGTCGCTTCACATCTTGGCTTCTGTAGACTTTTCCCACCATCACATTCTATCTCCCTCCCTCCCCCCTTCTCTCTCTCTCTCTCTCTCTCTCCACCCCCATCTCCCTCTCATTCCCCCCACCCTCTCTCTCTCCACCCCCTCTCCCTCTCTCTTTCTCTCCCTCTCTCTTTCTCTCCCTCTCCTTCTCTCTCTCTCTCCATCGCCCCCCCTCTCTCTCCTTCTCCTTCTCTCTCTTTCTCTCTCCATTCTCCACATCTCCTCACACACTCACACACACTCTCTCTTTCTCTCTCTCTCCTTCTCCATCTCCCTCCCTCTCCCTCTCTCTCCTTCTCCCCCTCTCTCTCTCCCTCTCTCTCCCTCCTTCTCTCTCTCTCCCTCCCTCCCTCTCCCTCTTCTTTTTTCCACGGTTTCTTTAGTTGTTTCTG